TACAGGGATCGTTTAACGAATACGAACTACAGAAAGTACACCGAGACAGAGACACAAAGTGGAAAATCGAACAGATAATGAAAAAGAAGAAGGTAAAAGGGCAAACCCAAGTCCTCGTGAGATGGTTGGGATGGCCTAAGAAATTCGATTCTTGGATTCCCGAGAGGGACATGAAATAGTATATATTGAAGTCGTTAGTTTGAAAGCGAAAAAAAAATCATTCCGTCGTCATGCCTCACACGTGTCCGGCATGTTCCAAATCGTACGCATTGAAAAATTCTCTGTGGAAACACGTGGCGAGAAAACACTCTTCTCTACGTAATCCTAGACTCGAGGTATGGCGTTCGCCCGCTCAATTTAGCGGAAATACCTCAGTCGTTTCGTACGACTATAATCTACCGTACGAATTGACGTCTACGCCACTGCATTTCTTACCGCCCGCATGCGAGGCCCATTTCTTTCCCTGGAAACATCCGTTCACGTGCATCATCGCGGGTCCTACTGGAAGTGGAAAAACGGAGTTCGTGAAACGCTTCCTGGCAAACGTCGATCGCATGGTGACTCCTAAACCGGACAACGTCGTCTGGTGTTACGGAGAATACCAGACGTCGTACGGGTTCGTAGACGGCGTCAAGTTCGAACAAGGTCTACCGGACTTGAAGAGTTTCGATCCGACTCTCAAACACCTAGTCATCATCGACGATCTGATGATGGAAGCCGACGATTCCGTAGCTTCGCTGTTTACCAAGAAAAGTCATCACGGTAACATAAGCGTCATGTACGTGGTACAGAATCTATTTCACCAGACGAAATATCACAGAAACATCAGTCTCAATGCCCATTACATCGTACTGATGAAAAACCCCAGAGATTCGTCGCAGATAAGACGTCTGTCTCAGCAAATGTTTCCAGGAGGAGGTACGCTATTATACGAAGCATATTCAGCAGCAACGTCTAAACCTCACGGTTATCTACTCGTCGACTTGAAACAAGACACGTCGGAAGAAGTTCGATTACGTTCGTTTGTTTTCCCGGGAGAATATCAAAAGGTGTATTCCGTTTAAACGTTTGAAAAAGAACCGAAAAAGGTATAAATATACTAGTTTCGGTCAGTTCTCAGAAATCATCGGAATATTTTTCATGTTAGGATGACGTATGCTACGTCAAACATAGAAAAACACGCTAGAGAATTGGAGTTTTTGTGTCGCGCTAAACCTACCGTCAGAAAAGCGGTCGTAGAAAAAGCGGACAGAAATTTAATTAATTGCATCTGTGAATGCTCAAAAAACATCCTGCTAGGAAACGTACACTGTACGAGGAAACAACGTTCGGCTCTTAAACGACATAAATCGGAACTCAGAAAGATCTTAAGAAAAAAACTAGCTATAAGTAAAAAGAAGAAAATCATTCAAAAGGGTGGATTTCTCACGGCTCTTTTAGCCCCGTTGGCGGCTACGTTCTTACCGGGACTCATTTCTAAAGTGGCTTCGATATTTCAATGAGAATCCGTCACGTGGTCATGTCTGGACGCGACGTGCGCTCTAGACCCAAACCGCCCGTCTCGACGTCCGTGATGTCGCTGAACGCCCTGGACGGAGAAATGAATAGGACGTTAGATAGGCTGGACATGGCGGACAGCCAGAAAGCGACGTTATACGATCAGCAACTTAGGAAATACGTCGATCGCTATAGAGAATTCTTAGATAGAGACAGTACTACGAAGGCCCTGGCGCCTACCGAGGCCCCCGAGCCTCGGGTAGAATCCGCAAACGAAGTCGACCACATAGAAAATGCCATTTTAGAAAGCATTCCGCGCGGAGCTCATTCTAAAACTAAACTGTTGTTGGGAAGATTGAAAGACGTCATTCAATGGAACGACCGCGGCGAATTCGGATACAAAGGAAGCTCCGTGATTCCTGGATCGAATCTGGTGGATTTAGTCGGTAATGCCGCACGTCCGACCTCACTCAAACACGTGGCTCCCAAGGGTCTCGACGAATTCATGGGTGCACTCAAACGCTCGAATGCACCCCAAAGTTGGATAAGCAATAAGACATACACCTCAAGAATGCAAAGACTGTCGTCCGCCACGCCGACTAGGAGCCGCACTAGAACTCCCGAGCGCACGCCCGAGTTACGTAACATACCCGAAACGTGGAGCGAAGACGAAGACGAAGACGACAGCGGTTTTATCTCCTCGTTCCACACTCCGTCTACAGTGCGAAAACAACGAAGGTGGTCGCCTTATTAGTCAAGCGAGTCACCAAAACATCTATAAAAGGGAACTCGCTTTCGTGGTTACTAACAAGAAATGTCGGAATCAGGCAGCGACGCTAGGTGGTCCGTATTTGGCAAGAGAATACCAAAAGGAGAGATATTGTTTTTCGTTCAAGTCTTCGTAGTGTTCACGGTAGTCGTAAGTTGTATACTCAACTTATCGTTTTCAAACGGACACACGGAGTTGTGGATCACTCTACTGAGCAGCAGTCTAGGTTACGTACTTCCAAATCCGTCCGTCAAACGCAGTCATAGAGATGTTTTATCTGACGCTACCAAGTAACAGTAGCATGGATTACTATCCGGGAAATACTTTAACCACTTATACGACGCGGTTGTCACAACCCTTAGATCTAAAAGGAAATTGGGAGGTGGGATTAGCCGAGATACACTATCCACATCTGTGGTATAACGTGAAAAGCGGCGAAGCTCAGCTGAAGTTATCACTGGGAGCAGGTAACGAGGCAAGTCCCGGATTGACGATAGACATACCGGAAGGATATTATTCATCTACGAAAAGAGTGCTGAAGTACGTGGATAAAGCTAAGAGAATGATTTCTCACGGCGATCGGTTTAGCTTTCACGTCCACGAACACGATCACAAAGTTAGGCTTCACATTACCAAAGGCGTGCACGTATACCTCACTCGGGCTTTAAGCGAAATGCTCGGTTTTAGAAAACAAGAATTCGCGGACGGAACACACACGGCGGAATTCAATAGTGACGTTCGAAGAGGATTTTATTCTCTGTACGCTTACTGTCCTCTCGTCGAATCGAGAATGGTCGGAGATACGAGAGCTCCACTACTACGCATCGTTCCGATAGAAGGCAAACCTGGCGACACGGTGTGTAAAGTATTCGATCCCGTACACTACGTACCTTTACAACAGCGTCAATTTCAAGAAGTGGAACTCACGCTGAGAGACGACACGGGCGCACCCGTACAGTTCGAGACCGGCAAAGTAGTGATGACGTTACATTTCAAAAGAAGACCCTTAGACTTTCCCTAAAAATGCTATATATATACGATTCGAAACGACAGTAATCAACATTTCAAAAACTTTCAAGATGAGGCACCCTCCACACAGAAGCGATCCCTACGTGTTCGATCGGTATTATCTCGATCAAGCCGGAAGCGGAAACAACGTTTTCGCCGGAAGTCGAACGCAGAGAGGTCACGGTCTTGGTTCGATATTCAGCGGTTTGTTTAAGGCTGCAGCCCCGTTGTTAAAAAGAGGTGCGAAGGCATTAGGAACACAGGCTTTGAAAACGGGTATGGAAATAGCAGGCGACGTCATAGACGGCAAGAATATCAAAACTGCAGCGTTGTCTAGGGCTCGCAACGCCGGAAGTGAATTGAGAAACCGCGCGTTAGACAACGTTAGAGAAGGTCCGCCGGGACGACGTCGAAAATCGAAACGTAACAAAAAGAGAAGAGTAGACTATTTAGATGATTAGGGGCAGAAAAGTGTATAAATATAAACGAAATGTACCGATTTTCCGTTCGACCGCTATTAAACTTCGCAATACATAAGTCATGTCGTTAGTTCATCCGAATTCGTGCGAGTGCGCGAAATCCGAATTGGATCTTTTTGACGTACCTCCCACCCAGACGAGTGTCGAAGACGGCTACTGGCAACAGATCGGTACGGTGACGTCGGTCAACGACGGAGGTCCGTACACGTTTAAGATATCTGGATCCGGAGAAGATTACCTAGACTTGGGGAACACAAACCTATTCGTGAAAGTAAAGTTGGTAAAGAAAGACGACGGTGCCGCCCTAGCGGCTGATTCGAACGTAGCTCCGACTAATTTATTCTTACATTCGCTGTTCAATAACGTGAGCGTCAGTCTAAACGAAAGGCTCGTGTCTCCGCCCGGGAAAGCTAATGAGAAATCTACGCCAGATATGTTGCACAATTGTGATTATATTTTTCCTCTATTGTTTTAACGTTCAGCATTAAAGGAAACGGCAACAACTGGTTCATAAATGGGACTCTGTTCCGTTTACTTTAAAATATGTTTATTCAGCAATGAACACGGTCTGAAAAGACACACAAAGTAGTGTTAAATTGCACAATAATAATTAGCATGAATTACGTATAGAAACTAATCATAACATACAATCCTCTAGTTAACCCGTTGTCAGTATAATGTGACCGGGCGGAATACTGTGGTGATGGGTGCCTTCGGCATGACATTTCAGTGAGATAGCACTATAAAGTTGGCATCAGATCATCGCTATCACAAGGAAGCAAACACAACAACATACCCTGTATCCTGCATACAAACACTCAAGCACGCATACACTACACACATGGAGGCACGTCCTTAAATGACCTGTTAATAGGACGTTAAACAAAATTAAACCAAACCAAACCATAATGAATCTCCTGGTTAAGTAAAAAATACAATGGTGTTCACGTTGGTTCTCATGTCACATCACGTCAAGACACACAAAGTAGTGGTAAATTGCACAATAATAATTAGCATGAATTACGTATAGAAACTAATCATAACATACAATCCTCTATATCCCCCAAGTCTTTGGTACACGCGAGTAATACGGTCACTCATACAAAGACTGATGTGAAATATGAGAATTATTAAGAAATGTCCGACTAATTGTCCTAAAATAAACAAAATAAGCACTGAGTCTCCGTGAAAAAATGCACAACAGATATAACACTTAGGAAATGTTCCAAGTAGAAACAAGTCAATTGTTATTTTGACATTTTATAATCTGAATGCCAAGCTGGTTTCTTTGCGGCACGACCAGAAGTCCGGATCGGTGCAGGGGACGGAACTACTGCTTGTGGCGTATGTGTCGAGATAGGTGGCATCGTTGCCGGGTGTGTGGTGATTTTGCTCACTGGGTTTGCAGGGGAATCAAACGCTAGATGACGTCGACTGAAGATGTCTCGAATACCAAATGGTGGTGAAGGGTGATCAACATCAGATGATGAACGAGGCGAACGTTGTATGGTTCTAGTAGTCAACAATGTGGATGGTGGAGGACTCGTATCCTTGGGGTTGCTTTCTTCACCGACGACGGTGTCTGGGGCGTTGGAAGCAGGAGACGTCGTACGACGGGAGAGTCCAATTTGATTGTCAATTGTGTAGCGCGCTGGTGGTGTAACGACTGGGATATACTTCCTGAGGAATTTCCTGTTGCGTAAGGTAACACGTCCAGATCCATCAACCCGAACTACATATTGATCAAACTGGTAAACTTCGGTAATGATTCCAGTTTTGTCCCATTTAAGGGGGTGAGGACCAACTTGATTTTGGATGCGTACATGATCTCCAACTGCAAGAGGTAAGAGGCGTTTGGTGTGTTCAGACCAACGTTCACTTTCTCGCATGTGACGATTCCGTAACGCCTTCTCGCGAGCTGCTAAAGTCTCCAGCAAAGTGTTGTGTGGAATGTACCGACCGGGTTGTATATGAATAAAGTCTCGTATAGGACGACCGAACACGCACATAGCAGGGGAAAGTTTTGTGTCTCTGTCAGGTGTGTTACGATACTGGAGAATAGCGCGTTGGAATGCGTCGGTGTTTAAGTCGCCATTAGAACTGGTGTTACCAGTGATCAGACTCTTCACTGTTTTGACTCCCACTTCAGCACGGCAGTTACTATGGGGAAACGCTACAGATGACAGTCTATGGTGAACGTCCCAGTTCCTGAGAAGTCGACGTGTGGCCGCAGAAGTGAACTCGGGTCCATCATCTGATGCTAGTTCATCAGGGATACCAAAAGTAACAAATATCCTTCGGAGACAGTCTATTAAACCATTGGAACCATCAGAGGCTTTCTCCACCACCGGCCAGTTGGAATAACGATCAACTACCACTAGGTAATTACAGCCCATGTAGTGAAAGAAATCTGCACACACGCATTGGAATGGATAGTCAGGAATTATCAAAGGGGCGTCGGTGGTGCATTCGGGTTAGATGGAGCAATACGGTTGCAGCGGTTACCAGTTGCACGTAGGTAGGCGATGGCAGGCGTGATACCAGGCCAGAGGATTGACGCGTCAGCTCTTGAAGTCATTGATGTCACCCCTTGATGTGCCGAATGCAGAGAGGCAAGGGTTTCTTCCCGGAGTGATGGTGGAATGACTATTCTGTCTTTATAAAGTACTACACCATCAACCGTATGAAGGTCGTCGCGGAATGGGAAATATTCTTGCAGTGGCCTAAGCAGCTCGTGACGGGTTCCCGGTATACCGGCCTCTATCAGAGCGATTAACGCCTGCATGTTGTCATCGCTGGTAGTAGTGGTTCTAACGCGCTCCCAGGTGACGGATCGTAAATTGATCGCATCTAGTGTTGAAGAGGCTGATGCCACGACATGCCCCTCGACAAATGCTAATCCTGATGAAGGCATGCGTAGACCACTCATAAGACCAAAGTGGGCGATGTCGACGGCAGAAAATGACAGTGCTACAATGTCGTCCTCGAGCACAAGTTTCTCAGGCTCACCAATAGGATGTCGGGAGATACAATCCGCAGCACGATGTCGTATGCCAGGCACATGAAGCATTCGAAAACGGTATCGTAGTGTTTTCTCCTTGAGGTTACGAAGTCTGTTGTTAGGAATGTTTTCCAGTGATCTATCGCAAAATAACTTCAACAATGGTTTATGATCAACAGCTATGATCACGTTGTCGCACCCAAGAACGAAGTGTCGAGCTTTATCAAAGACATCTGCTACTGCCAGGGCCTCGCCCTCAACCGGCGCGTAACGCGTCTCTGACGCATGTGTGAACCGACTACCTACGAGTGTAACTTTCCAACCATCACTGCAGCATAGCAGGCTTTCATTAGCACAAGCGCAGTGTTTTAGTAGCAACCAAAATCCAATGCCAGTCTTTGACCAGTCTGTCGCGAGACACGTCAATTTACTTGGGTCGAAAATCCGTACACCCTGCTCAATCTCGTTGGCAATGACAATTTTGGATTCCTGAAAAAGTCGCTGGAGATCTTCAGTCCACTTAAACGGTTGATCTGGTTTGAGCAACTGACGGACAGGAAGCATATTTTCAATCAAACTGAAGGCATACGACACCTGATTGACTAGTCCAAACCATGACCGCACATCTGTGATGTTCCTGGATGTCGGAAAATCCAGGATGGCGCGTAGGTATTTCTGTGAAGGCCGTACACTATCGTTGGTTATTTCAAACCCAGCGAATTCGAGTGTGTCCTCTGCAAATACAAATTTGTCAGGGTTCATCGTTATACCGTTACGACCGCATATGTCAAGCCACTGGACTGCCTGATTTGATTTTGATGGGGATGTCCGAAACAAGCTCGTCGAAGGGGTGTGCTGAGTCTCGCGAGTGGCATGTGCATTTAAGGGTTGGAAGACAACATTGCGCCGAGGTGTACCATTCTTTTTCGCACAAATAACCATTATATGGCACCAAGTGACAGTCTCACCAACCGGAACAGGTTCAATAACCCCCAAACGAACATCCTGGTCTAGTCCAGGCTTTACTGCACCCTGCCAGTGGATTGGGTACTGGTGCATGATGAGCGACAGGTTTCGCGTTGGAGTCCACCATGAGCTTCAAGGGAGGTCCATTCATGAGTGGTAAAGTCTGGTGTTCACATGTGTTAAATGTGCTAGACTTGTAGTGGTCAAGTAAGTAACCTTTTAAGTGACCAACGTTTTCCGTTGTAGCAGGGAAAGGCAGTTTTGTCGGAGGCGGTGGTTGCAGTTGGCGTGTAGGACAATCGCATGCTTTGTCTTGGTGATCCGGTAAGGAGAAAGTACCATCTACATGTATGCTAGCTGAAGGGACTTGAGCTCCGACGGTTGGAAATGAATCGTGGATAATACCTAATGCAGCGCTGGCTTCGCGACTGAGGAAGAGCTTGTCTGTTAAGCTTGTGACATATGTCATCTGTCTGGTCTCCTTGGTGTTTTATGCCTTGTCTTTCCCAATCAAGCGAAGGATGGTCGCCCCAAGAATTTTGATCCCACCGTATATAGCCGTGTGCATCTGCATCGTTACAGGTATGAGTTCTGTTTCTCGTAGACCAAGGCGGCGGATTACTTTCAAGCCAGCGAGGCAACTCTGACATCCCGTGTCAGCCATAGCCTGTATTGAGACGTTGCTGGTGTATCGTGTTAGTTTGAAGCCTAGGGCGGCGTAGTCCCCAGTGGTAACTTTAGCCGTCACGTTTACGAATGGTTGAGGCTTGGAGCGTTGTTTCACCCAGGAATTCGTCAGTTCGTCATAGACATGGTGGTCGATGCAGATTGAGTGTTCGATGCCAGAATCACTAACGGTACAGTGGTGATGTTGTAGAGAATCATGAACAGAGCACAATGC